TTTTTCATTAATTGCAAACCTTCAGGATCAAGACAACGCATATTTTTAAACATATCAACATTATATGGTCGTACTTGAATTTGATGTGGGAGTGTATCATTTTCATAAATTGTAAAAAATAATTCATTAACAGCTATATCAAATATTGGTATAACTTCTTGTGGATATGCAATTAATTGATTTAACATTGTTTTATCAATTTGTTTAAAATGTGCACAATCAACATTAAGAAATGGACGTTCAAGTAAATGAATTTCTTCTAATTTTTGCATATAAAATGGTTTTGTTGGATCAACACCTTCAAGATTAGCTTCTTCAATATTTAAATGAAATTTTTTTAAAAATGTTATAAATCGACGTTTACATTCATTAACATGCACATCTGTACCCCAAATAACGACTTGATTATCAGCTGTATTAACATCAATATCACCTTCCTAAAATAAAAATTATACTTTTCTTTTAAGAAGATTTCAAAATTTTATTAACTCACTAATTCATCTTGTTCATTAACTAAACGTAATTTTCGTGCACTACCAAGATCGGATCTAGTTCGTGAAGGTGTTGACATTGGTGTACGACCATTAGCACCTATATTACTTTGTGCAGGAGATGTTGTATATGTCATTGGTGAAAATGCCATGCCTAAAAAGAATTTTCTTTTATAACAGATAATAAAATCTAATTAAAGAAAAAAGACCTCGATTTTTATTTGGAGTTCGACCAGGTGTAAAAGGCATTTGTAGAATAGAACTTGGTGTTGGACTAGTAATTGGTTCATCTTCTTGTAAAGCTGTTAATGGATGTCGATGTTTAGCAGCTAAATAAAAAGATTTAATAGATTAATTGAAGAATGAAAAGTTTATTACGTGTTCGCTGTGTTGAACCCGGCGTTTGTTTAGCTGGAGTACGACGTTGTTTTGATGGAGTACCATTCGATTTTGATGGAGTGGTCATCTAGAAAAAAAATATGATAAAAATTAAATTTTCAAATAAGAATCCAATTGTTTAAGAAAAATGAAAGTTCAAGAGAATCATTAATATTTCTTGACATTGTTTCATTTCTGAATGAACCATTGGATGATAGACACAAGAACAAAAAATGTGCAATATTAGCCATTCAATTATTGAATAAGACCGCAAACAAAGACCTAAGTTGACAAGAGTAATAATTTGAAATATTTTTCTGTAATTATTTATTATTAATTTTGATTCTTTTTTACAATTATTTCTTTGCTATATATATATATACATATTTGAAAATTAAGCAACGATTTAAAAGAAAAAGAAAGAGGTCGCACATTATTCTTTCTGATGGCATGTGAGAAAGCGTGAAATTGTGATATGCGACTTGAAGAATAGAAAAATGGAAAGTTGTGACCTACTGTTACAGTCATTTCTGATCAAAAGTTAGAAGAGAAGTCAAATAAATCTGATCAATTTCAGTACTGAATTATCTTGTGAAAATTTCATCAGAAGAAATTTTCAAAGTTCACCTTTGCAGATGTAAAAGAGTTTACCTTTTCAAATCAATATCGTTTATTCTTCCAAAATTTAGTAGTTCAAGATCGACTATTGGTTCGGTCCGATGATACTTTTGCGTTTATATTTGTGTCACAACTACGCATCTACTACAGATTAATAAAACATAAATTCAGGTAGAAAATTCTACATAGGCAAAGTTAAGACCAGATTCGTTTTTTTTGTTTTCATTCACTATATGGCTTGTGACGGCTTTCTAGCTGCTTGTGTTAGGTGTAAAATTTTATTTTTTTAACGAAAGGTCCTATTTTCCGTAGGGGTGGTGAGGCTCAACGAATAGGTTTCGACGCTGTTTTGGCAGATGTATGTATCTGAAGCTCTGTTTATAGTCCCTGGACACAAAAATTCAATTCCACGAAAAGATACAGATCTCTTCTAAGATAGTTACATATCTACTAAATAAAATTGTTTTGTCTGTATGTACAAGCTGAATAATTTCATTTATAAACCATGTGAACAGTACTATTATGAGGATAAAATTTCTTGATTTTCCAAGTTATTGCATCTGATGTCCTTGCTGATTTTAATTATTGACATATTATTCACATGAAATTTTCAATGGTTCTTTATCCATTTAGATTAGTAAAAAGTGCACTACAACTGAACATTTTATTTTTCCTGAAGATTTGAGAATAAAGTAATAGTATACAATACTTGTTCGTGACATGCATAATTAGGCATGTGAAACAGAATCAGAGGTTTGAGTAGTGTCATTTATAAATAGTATATTGTAGACACTAATATACATGTAGAGTAGAAAAATCACTTCATTCAATATATTTCAATATGATAGAAAAAAGAAACATTATTTAATAATAAAGATGTAAAGCAACACAAAATAACATAGAATTTCAGCTGGTGTGTATAGATAGTAACGCAGAAAATTAGCAGTTTACATATAAAAAAATAACAGTCAGCAGTAAAAACTGTAGAGAGTAAAAAGAAGAATTTAGTTTCAATGCTTATTCAACAATGACAGAGAGTTATCCATGCAAACGAATTTGAGAAAGCATATTATGTTCTTTTCAAGTAGCTGAGTGTGAGGATATATGGTGTTGATGTGGATTCTCTCTTCATCTTCACCTACACCTACAAAAAAGTATATTCAGAGAAACAAAAAAACAAATCGACCACTTGTCAGAAATGTAAAATCGAAATTCTCAGATATGGTTGGATAGAATTTTGAACAGCTAAGCACAATCAACTATAGTGGCATCTTATTCAATTAATATTGTTCGTCCAAATATATGATGGATGAAAACAAAAAACGAAGTTGGTCCTTTACTTTATGTAAATCAAAAATGAATTAAGGAATCTGTTTCATTTTTCTAAGCAATACCAAGAAGACTTATTCATTCAGTTTTGATTTGCATAGCGTGAATAAGGCCTTCATGTATTTTGCAATAAGAAGAAAAAGCTGTTTCTCATTTTCTTTTCTCACTAGAAAATTCTTTTTTAGTATGTCAATAAAGTGTTGAAGCATTTAAAAGTTTACTCTCATTCAACAACGGAATGACTGAGTTTTTATACAATCAAAACAACAATTTGATAACACCTGAAAAAATCTAATGTTCGACCAAGAAATTCTCTTTTAATAATTAATCACTTTATTTATATTTTACAGTGAATTTTGTAATTTGACTAGT